GCCCAGCACCACCACGGGCCGCCACCGCCCCCCTCCACCTCCGCCAGCACCAAGCCCAAACACAGTGGCATCAGCACAATAGTCTAGGACAGAGACCCCCCGCTAACTAGAGTTTTAAACTGAGTCACAAAGGCACTTACAGGAAGCAACAAATCATCATATTGCCAGTTTTTACCTAGACAGTTTCATTGAGCCGGGTGAGCTTAAAGGCTTGCTGTTACTAAATAAAATAATGCCAGTTAGTGGTTTTACTTATCTGCTGGATAGATGTCCACCATCTGGTTAGTTCTTATTTCCAAACTGCCTTGAAAACATGCTGCTTGCTGAATCTGACTGAAGCTACCTTTTACACCAAATCCCTTGACAATTTTACACGTGTAACGAAACGTTAGTCTATGAAAAAAAAAGGAAAAAAAAAGTGAGACAGAACCAAGTATTGCATTCTTGCTCTTTTATTCTCAATGGGCAAAAAAAATAAGTAGACCTGATATGGTTGATGAAAGTACGTAAGTAAACTTTATATAATATAAATATATACATATAAATATATATATATATATACTGTATAGTTAACATTTGTGCTTGGAAAGAAATTTTTTCAGTCCACAAAACTAGCAATATAGACTTTACAAGGAATTCCACTTACTTGATAGGACAGTATAGTAGATGAATAGCATATGAAAGAGTAGACCAAAACATTAAACGTTAGAAACAAATTTCAGACATTTCAGTGTTTTCATTGCGAGTCCTCCAGACTCACTGGGATTTCTAAGCAATCATTACTAAATGTGCCAAGTAACATAGCATTTAACTGTCGTAGTCAATACTGCTTTGTATAAATCCTTATTTTATTAACACGATGATATCATATGTAATCAGTATTATAACTGCTCTGCTATTTCAGGTAAGCAAGCTCGTTAAGATGCAGTAATTATACCGTAGCAATGTAGGGGGGCCACTTCCCAGTGGTCACCCTCAAGCATTGGTCACACAAGTTCTTAGACACTTTAAAGGCTGTGATAACTGTGAATTTACATGATCCACATTTCTTTTGTATGCATATGGATTTAAGGAACACCCGGGAAGAGTTACGACAGGTGCATGTACACACTGCAAAAACATTCATCTCAGACATGAAAATGGCCAACTTCCATCCTCCTCAGCTACTTTGTTTCCCGTTTACCATAATTTCTCATTTTTACCCCCAGTGAAGCTGAATTCTAGTCAAGAGTGTTTCCAGGTGGAAGTGCTCTAAAAACTTGAAGGTTTGTTTTAGAATTTAGTATAGGGTTTTTATATATATATATATATATATATTAAAAAATCTGTAATTCCATGTAGCCATGTGCTAGCAACAAAGTGGCTTTACCATTTTTACTCATCACATTTGTTAGTTTGAAGCACCCAGCACTCAGCAGGCTGAGTTTATGCTCAAACCCTCACTTCCATAGTCCAGTTAGTTGCAAGACATCACATAAAAATAGGCTGTGCTGTTGTTGCTTATGTGTTGTAACCAAACCATTTGCAAATTTATATACAGTTTTTATCCCGAAATCCTGTACAAAGTTATACATGGCGCCTACTTTGTAGTTTCAGCACTTTGAGCCACTGCAAGGACTTTACACCTAAACAGTAGAGACAGAGAATCACAACTGCAAAACTGTACCAGCCTAAAAGCAAACCTTGAAGAGGATGAGCAAAAAGTTCCAGTAAGAGATGGGTAAAATAATCATATAACAACCAGTGGGGTTTCTGTTGAACAGTAACGGGGTTGTCAGCAGTGATGAGGACGTGAGAACAACGGAGTGGCTTTCCATGCTGGCTGGCTCATGGCACCTCTGGCGTGCGGGGAGGGGGGAGAGGTTCAGTATTTTTTTCCCTTTCATACCATTGATATCACAATACCAGCAAAACTGCAAACTGAGCACTTTGTTAACTCCACAGAGAGCAAATACAGCAATCTAGAGTTGAGCCTTTTGTTTCGAGCTGTCCACGTTTGTTTTGCACATGTGCAATATGTTTTCCCCTTCTGCACCTTCTCCTCTGAATTACCTTCATGAAAAGAAAACAAGTATTATTTTTCTGTTTCACTCATTCTGTTCTAAATTCTGCGGCTTCGGGGTCCCCCGAGGCTCTGTTCCTTGCAGTTTAAAAAATATATACTGTTCTTATAAGGGAAAGTAGACCTGTCTGCATGTCATCTAATGTTACTAGTGTGAGGCTACACTCTACATATTGTATATTTGCAAAATATATCAGTGTTACTGTTGATATTAGTTGAAGTAAAGTGATAACATATTTCAATATGTAGACTTTTCTTCATACATCTGTACCAATAGTAGAGTCTAACTGTAATTTATAGGTTGTTCCAGAAAAGATAAAGAACCATTCAAGTACAAACATCTTTCAGAAACTGCATCTTTTAATTAAAATAGAGGTAAGAATGCTCCTCTTCACTGAGTGATGGAGTCTATACGTGTTTCAGATGCAGAGGCATAATGTAAGATAGTGTGTGTATGGAATAAAGGCACAATATGCAGTAGCAGTGGAGAGGAAAATTTGACTCCAGCTGTGTTGATTAACGCTGCAGATGTTAAATCACCCAGATCTGCATTTGCTTTATGTTTAAAGACCCCTTTCATTCATTTAAATTAGAGTTACATAGAAAGATTCTGTACTTAAACAGTAAAAGCCACATTTTAATGCTTTGACCACTGATTTTCCATGTGCAGTCAATGTATCTGTGAATCAGAATATTGAGATGTCACTGTGCAACACTGACATGTGGGTTTGTGTCCCCGTGGGGAAGGAGCCCGAGCCTGCCCTGGGGCTCAGTTGCACCTGTGAGATCCCATCCTCTGAGCCCGGCTTAAAAACCAAAGCTGGGCCTAAGGAGTACTGCATTTGTACCCTCTGTTCTTTCGAGCCAATGAGGAGAAACAGTGGACTTGACTTACTTGTTTCTAGTTTTGTTCTGTTTTGGGTTTTAGACTATATGTTTGTATGTACTTTACCAAAGTGTCTTGGTGTCAGCATAAGGCTTAAGAACTTTGGTGCTTGTTTAGGGTTGCAGTGAAACCTCTCTGATCCGTCCTTGATTAGAGCAGTGTGGGTCATGCCTAGCATAGGAAAGTTATCTTACTTAACACTGCATGGGGTTAAGAAAATTAATTTTTCAGCCTGCAGGCAGGAGTAGAATTGAGAGGGTTTTTTCTCAGATGCCATTGCCAATTAAAAACTGGTACAGAACTGCATAGGGTGACCATGGCTGTCTCTTCCCATAAACCATGTGGCAAAGTAGTAATGCTGATTTGAAAAAATGAAAGGGAAATGTTAAGAGTGAAGGTGTGGCAGCAAAAATCTTTTCTGGGACAACAATTAAATATATATTTGGGGGTTTTATTTTTTTAAGTTAAGAATGAAATGTAAAACAATGTAAAAACAAAAAACAAAGTTCATCCTAATATAATGTGCGTCTTGTATTGCTAAAAAAAAAAAGAGCCTAACATACAGTGTAGAATGATTTCCCATCATGTACTGCATGCAGCAGAAGCCTCTTGTTTCTTGATAAAATGAGCTGAGAGACAGTCAGCAGATATTTAAACACTGAATCTCTAGATGTTGACTTGCTGTTCCACATGAAGCTGTGTGTTTTCTGCAGTTAAGCATGCATTTTGCTGTTCCCTTGTAAAATACCATCACACTTCTTGCCTGCAAAATGGATTCTTGTGTATATATTTAAAAGAAAAGTGGAACCAATAACAAGATTCAATTTGGAAAAGAGAGAAGGGGGTGTGCTGAAAACGGGACCAGTAGGGGGAATAGAGAATTCTCTAAATTGTACATAGTGTGTAAATTAGCATTACTCTAAGTCTGCAGTCACTTTGAGGTTGCCTATCTCCTGCTAGGAACTTAAATCAGCTTTGAGTTGTATTAAACTGTTAGAATTAGGTCTTGAATGCAGACTGTTAAAGACTTCAAAAACATTACGCTTACAAGAAGCTTCTGTTCTGGGGAGGCTTGAGACCCCTTTTGTAACTCTGGGGAAGAAAGGAGTGCTTTCATTTTAATATGCATTCTGTTTGTAAGTAGTAACAGACCCTATTGATGTAAAACTATAACTGTGATCATGTGGAGAAATCAAATAAATCATTTAAAACTCCTCGTTTCTCATTTCGTGTAACCCAAGAACTTACAACTGTTCAGATTTGAACTGAAGGGAATTCCTCCCAATGCTATCCTGGCCCTGCTGAGGCAATGGGATTTCTGCTGCTCACTCCAGAGGGGCCAAGAGTTCAGTCTTCATCCAAAATTAAAGACCAGGTGGTGGAAATGGTGCTCAGTCCCATGGAGACTGACCCCTTCTCCATAGGCTTTGATTTGTTTGGTGGTGCTGGAAATATATTTATAAAGTTTCAAAGGACAGTAAAGAGCAAAACACACCCATTGACCAGGACACTCTGAGGCTGGACAACGAGAATGAGGTTGTGAACCTTGTGACACGTGAGCTGCAGCTGAGCCCGTTAATCCTCTGGCTGTCACGGGGCCTCAGGAGCTCCTGGCCAGGGGACTGTCTGCCCTTGGAGAGGTGTCAGTTTGTCCTTCCCAGGGGGACATTCCTTGGATCCCGTGTGTGATCAACACCCCTTGGCTGGAGTTCGTGGAGTGCCTTCTCCTCTGTGCCCACTGGCAGGGAACCCTCACAGTGCTGGGACTGAGTAAGTACTACCCCCTTCCTACCTGTCCTGGCTGGTTGGGCTGTATCTCACCTTACAAGAGTCACTGGGACATATTTGCCACACGTGGCTATCCCAGGATTTGCCATGGCCCCCTGCAGTGACTGTGGAGAACAACTTGGGAGATGCTCCACTGTTCTTACTTTTATGCATTTCCTACATTTCCAGGGGGTTATAGTGTGTCTGTAAAAAAGCTAATGCTTAGCTATCAGTTTAAACTAAATACTGTGTTTGCTTGTGTTTTCTATGAATTTTAGGGGATTCTTGAATTATTTTGTGGAAATAGTCAACTGTGACCTATCTGTGAATGCAGTAATTTCAGAGGTACATCTTGGATAGGTAAGTATCCATGTATCTGTCTACATCACTGTGCCACCCCTCTGAGCTGTGTGACCCATCAGAAGGGGACCAATGCCTCTTCCATCCTGTAGTGGAAGTAGAAGAATCTGTGGTGCTGTTCTTTGCTGGCACTTCTATTCGTGGTTCAGAAATTACAATTTTAAGAATTTTGGTACATTACATTTTGAGGAGACAAAGAGTCTTTTGTCTCTAATTTAGCTCGGAGTCTGTAAATGCTGTTATAAATCCAGGGGTTTATTTCCGATCCATTTAAAAAGTAGGACCTAAATAATACATTTAAATTCTGCTGCTTTCTACCTAAACTAAGACTAGGTTGAAAGCATTTATGATCTGGCACGACATGTCCCTGCCCATGGCAAGGGGTTGAAACGAGATGATCATTAAGGTCCCTTCCAACCCAAACCATCTTGTGATACTGAAATAAAATAAAGAGCCAAAGGAACCTCATTAACAATGTGGTTTGTGTGGTGGATTTGCACCAGTTGCAGTAAGCCAAGTAACTTAAATAAAAAAATTCAGTGTAGGTTAAACATGTAACAGGTTAATAGCTCACAGTTGTTGATATTTTTTATTATAATATCTTTAAGTCTCTGATGAAGCTTGTGTGCCTGTATCTAGTGAAACATACCTTCATTTAAGAAGTTTTGTTGCCTTCAGTATCTTACCCAGGTCAGGGTTCTCTGTCATAAGTTGTAACTGAAAATCACACCTTTTACAGGTCAGAAGTCTAATGTTTGAGAAGTTCTCCTCAACTCTGTGTTTGTGCATTTTAGGTGTTTGTGTGCATGCAGCAGTAAACACACTGATTGCATGGATGAGTTGTCATGCCATAAACAACTTCAAGCTCTTCTAAATAGCAACTTTTTAAGAGGAGGTTCCTTGCCAGGTATTTTCTGTATTATTTTGGTTGGGATAAAGAAACGCAACATTAAAATGGCAGGAAAAACAACTAAAAAACTTCCTATGTTTTATCTGTTTCTCTCTTCAGGTTTTTGTTGACACCAAACTTTGTTTTTTCCAGTTGGCCTTAATGGTTGATTTTCATTCAAAGTTTCACCAAAACAGGTGTAGTAACATTTTACCATATATTTCTTTGGACTATACATATTACTTGTGCAATGTCTTATTCATCAGCTGCACCCTGTGCAGAGGTGAGATATGGGAGCCCCAATTACTTTTGAATATTTTGTAGGGTATTGCAGCATTTTAGATGGAGCTTGAAACATTGATCCAACTTCTGGGTTTTTTCCTGCAGTCATTGAAACAACTGTCAAAAGGTATCAGAATTATGGTGCTGTTAGGATTGGGTGGTTAAATCATATTTCAGCATATTTATGTACTGACAGATGTGTTTGCATAAGATGAACAATGTACTTAGAGTAACATGCCTCAATAAATCTCGATTGGTATTACAGCTGCATTAAATACACCTTTTCCCAAAGGAATCTTTCTGGATTTTTACCCTACTTACGACCCTCTTACTGATTTTTGCTGCTATATTTTGTTGACATAAAATTCCTGGAAGAGAACATAGCACAGCTAACCTGACAGAAATACCTGAAACACACAAATGCTTTATTTTAGGTGTATTTTTTAGTAGAATTTCTTTTTGTTTCCTCTTATTTGAAGAATCAAAGCCAAATCCTGTATTACTCTACAAAACTACATCTACTGCAGGATGAGGCTGATCATGAAAGTCAGGAGATGCTTAAATCAAGATCTCTGCTTGGAGTACTTCCTCAGCTAAACAAAATTTAAATGAAAGTTGTGTGGGTGATGTTAACTTGAAGCCATCACTTTTTTCAAATTATTAGATTTATTATTTTTACCATGTATATAAAAGCATAATTTTAGGAATAAAAAAAAAATCCCCTTTCTTTAGTGTTTTTGCAGTTGCTGAGATGTGAAATGAGCATCATGGTTCATGAGACACAGCCAGCTCAAACCAAGCACACAATTTATCAGCTCTGCTGGGAAATGACACACACAACTTGAGCTTTCATTTATTTCTTCAGATTTAGGCACAGGTCTTTGTAATGAGCAAAGAAAAAACTACTCTGCCTTTAATAAGATGAATGGGGGAAATTCATTCGAACACTACTGAAATGTTGTGCCTGCAAAGTGGAAAATGCTTTTTCTCCACAGCTGCTCATTTCTGCTACAAAACAATACATTCCTGAGGGTTTGACAAGGGAATGGGCTTTGGGAAATGTCCAGGGAAATGGCAAAGGCAAGGATGGCTCAGGTGGTCTGTGATTCAGCAGTGGTATCCAAGGCTGGAATCAATTCATTTAATCACTGACATTAGGATTTTTTCTAGTGAGGAAACACTCTGACAGGAGCTTCCTCACCTTTGGATCCAGCTGGACTGAGCACGGGCAGCCTTCCCTTTGTGCAGGATCCCGGGATCCCCCATGAGCATCTTCCTCCTCCATCAGCTCACCATATGCTCTTGGATGATGATTTTTTCCTTTTACTGGCTAATATTCCTTTATATCCACTCCAGCAGCAGAGAAGAACATTTTTGTTTAGTGACTCATCCTATATATTGTCCTTGCCATCTTTCTGGTAGTCCCATGTCTCTGCTGCTGCCTCAGCCCTTACACCAGGCTCCAGAAGTGCCTTTGAACACAGCCCTGCCAAGTTTGAGATACCTCTGTTGTCCTTCCACACGAGTTTGGAAGAGCAGCAATTTTTCAGCCCAATGAGAAATATGTGCTGTGTCCTAATTAGGCTTTTAAGCATCCCAGGTGTTTATAGCCCTGAATTTCCACAGCGTTTCAGCAGTTTTTAAAGATGTCTTTGATCGTGTGATAACCCCTCTGCTATGCCAATCTGTAAATTTTCAGAATAGTTTGCTTGTGTATTTTATACCTAAAGGTGGAGGAAACTTTGTTTCTACTCTCTCTAATTTTTTTTCTATTACTATGAGCTTTCTGAGCTATTGCAATATTTCATGACCCTGCTAACATACTTGCAAACTGCCAGCATAGCTTCATGCAAAAAAGATCTGTATATTAGCAGTGAATCACAGGGGACTTATCTTAAACAATTCCCCTAACTGTGTGGATTTGAAATAATTTAAAGAAAAAGTTGGAAGAAAAACACTTGCATTTTGAGTCATCTGTTTCTCTTCCCATATATGAAAAGGGGGGAAACAGATGCCTCATCTGGGGTGAAGCAAATTATTGAACTAAAGCATTATTAATAAAATGTCCCTGAGCTCACTGAGCTTCTTCCTTCTCCCCAGTATTAGAGTGTAATAAAATTTATTTTGGCCAAGAGGTTCTCGACCCATCTCCCTTCTGCATTCATTAATAATGCCAAGAGGTGCTTTATGCAGTTACTGCAAGGTCTTTTTATAGCCCCCCTTGTTCTCTCACTTATCACTGTCACCTGTGTGACATAAACCCAGCACTGCCCAGGCTGCTCTGCTGCTCTTTATCTGCAAATGTGCCCCTGTGGAATCCCACAGCAACAGCTGCTTTCCTGGACTGAGAGTTTAGGTTCTCTGCCTTCACAGAGCAAAAATTGTACTTGATTTTAATACAATGCTTGTCCTGTTTTTTCTTGCTTGAAAAAATAAAGCTTATTTGGCTGCGAAGAAAAAAAATTCACATTTATAAATGTATAATTTCAAATTACTTTAAAATGCGTAAAATATGAGATAATTTAATGCTTCCTTTAATCTAACATGACAGAGCTAATGGACAATTTGCCTAGAAGTGCCACCTCATGTTGTGAGGAATTTCTTTCACTGACAATCTGTATTTGTTTCTTTTTCAGGTGCTTTTTAAGACAGCCACAGTACAGTCATTCTGGATGCACAGCAGATCGGACAAATGTATTCCTACAGTGACAGTGTTAATATGTGTGTTTCAAACACATCACTTTGCTTCCACAGCATGTAACCAGGACCAAGAGTGGAAATACCAGTTCCTGCTCTCACCTTTCCCAGGATTTCATTTGTGAGGCAGGGTTTTTTTAAATATTTGGAGACGGGGGGTGATGCAATGGGCACATCATCACATGCCTGTGGGAAAGGCAACTGGGAATGTCAAGTGCA